CCAGCTTCGGCAGTATTCAGAATATTTTAAAGCACAAGAGTTTCAGTTGGGACTAGGAAGGGGGGGGGGGTGCGGACAGAGAGACTAAACACAAAAGGAAGTTAGTTCTTTACTTCTCCCCCCAGTGAATGTGGGCAAACAACACTGGCCATTGGGATCTGCAGGTGGAGGGGCCTGCCCTCAGGAGGCGGCTACTTAAGCTCGCTGAGGCCAGGGGTCTCCCACCCACTTGCTCTCACCACCCACTTTCTCTCATCACCCTTGCTCTTTAAACGAGCACCAGTCATGTGCCAGGCACTAAAGACTTAGTCCATATTAACATGTATAATACTCAGAATGGCTGTGTGAAACTATGAAGTCTACACATCTAATATTATCTCAAATCTGAAGGTGAGGAAACGGACACACGTAATTTCTCAAGGTCACACAGCTGGTGAGGCAGAGCCGCTTACTCTGCCCCTGTGCCTGGCACAAAAATTGGCTCCTCCGAGCTTCACAGTCCTGGCTTGATTTCCCCTAAAACTGTAACAGCCAGCTTAGGGGAGGAACGGCAAGTCAGACACTAACCAGCCTTGCTGAAGGGGTGAGTGCTTATCTAAGAGGTATGGTTCACACCTGAGGAGGGAGAGATTTAGAAAGGAAATGGTTATATGTATTCCCTAATGAAGGCAGATCACTGCCCCCTCTGAAGGCAGAGGTGTGGAGCAATGAAAAGAAATTTGCATAAGGACACAACTAGCAAGCACTACAGCTGGAACCCATTACATAGCCTACCTCAAAAGAAAAAGACGCCATTTCAGTAGTGGCAGGCAGATGTTCCACTAAGCTGCCTTTCTAACCAGAGAAAAGGTGGAGGATGGCTGAGAGGGAGAGAGAGCAAAAGAGCTACAAGTCCGAGGTGGATTATAGCATTGACCTCCTAGCCGTGCCCAAGATAAAGCATGGCATCCTTGCCATGGTTTTGACCACATCTCAAACCCTATGAGCCCACAGTGGAGTTTAAGAAACCTGGCCAAGGCAGGTCAGCCTTGATAAAATACAGGGTTAGGCAAAAGTAGGTTTACAGTTCATGTGGGGAAAAAACATGCAGGATATGAGGATTACAACACCTTTATTAACTCAATGTTACCATCCAACTGTAAACCTGCTTTTGCCCACCCCTGTATGTTGGAGCTTTTACGCGGCTGGAAATATGTGCAAGAAGTGAGTCGAACTCATTGTATAAACTCAGAAAAGCTGGAGGCTCAGTCTGAGGAGCCCAGGATGAGAATCAGCGTTGTGGCATCTGGATGCCGCTGTGAGCTCCCGTGCCTGCCAACATTCCTTGTTACTGAGATAACACCAGAGCTGGATGGAGGCTGGTGAGCCTGGGGCTGGCTTTTCTGGGAAGACTTTCTGCTCACCGGGTGGAGTGGGGCTCCTGCCTGGCGCTTCCACTGTAGCCCTTGGCACACTGGTTTGTCTCTTTCCACAGCTGTAGCTGCCTCCCCCTGGGGATATGGGCTTCCCGAGGGCAGGGCAGGTCTCTCCCCAGTGCCTGGCACCCAGCCAGATCCCTAAGGGCAGCTCCACGCTGCCAGGAGTCCTTGCCTAAGCCCAGAGGCAGCAGGGCAAGACAAAGGCAGGCCCAGCAGGCAGCCCAGCATCCACAGGAGAGCCCGGGATACCCTCCAGGCCTGGCAGGGCAGCTCTGAAGGCCTGGCTCCACAGGCACATGTCTGAGCCAATCCCAGCAGCCCCTCCTGGGGGCCCAGCACTCCAACCTGGTCAAACCTGCAGTCTGAGAGAGCTGGGCACAGCTTCTTGCCAAGGAAGGCTGCTGCCATTTCTAAGCAGGTGCTCTGGCTCTACAGGGAAAGAGGGAAACTTTCACAGAGGATGGGGGGAGGGGAGGGGCTCCAGAACCAGCCTGGGGCTTTGGGTGGGAAATGGGTTGGGCAGATGGACCAGGGATGTCCAGTTGTTGCCAGGTAAGTTTGGCAGGATAAACAAGCAAGTCTGTGTTAAAAGGACCACAACAAAGAGCCTTGGTTCCAGATTCTATGGGAGCTAGGAGGAGGGGCCCAAGCCAGCACCCAGTGTCAGGGAATGCTTCTCAGGGCAGGCACCTCTAATATCTTTGAGGGCTGCCAGGGAGCCCATGGGTGGACAAGGGGAAGGGCGTCCCAGCAAAGGCACATATAAGCGAAGAAATTGGGTGGGTGAATGAATATGTGAAGTTGGCGCATGCCTGGATCAGGGAACCAGTAACCCAAACTCCTGCCAATAAATAAGTAAATACTCACATGGGACTCGGGAACCCTGCTGCCTGGAGGCCAGTTGGAGGACCAGGAAGTCCAGTCATATTGCACTCCACCCCTGGGATCGGGGCCTCCTCTGGACCACGGGGATGGAAGACCAAGGAGCCTCCTTCCCAGGAAAAGCACACACTGACCAGAACCCAACCCAGGAAGGCTTTGGTAGCCGCCAGCAGGTAGCTCACAACCCCAAGAAGCACAGGGGCCAGACTGAGGGACCAGACTGCCTCGACCCCATCCCACCCCCCACCTCCAGAGCAGGGCCACCAACACTAAAATACAACAAACCGTTCCCCACACAAAACCTACTCTTGCTCTGTGAGAGGCACATTTTTCTAAAATGCTGGTGTCGACCCACAAGACAGCTTTTGTGATTCCCAAGTGAATTATGCCTACAGTTCAGAATCACTCAGGAAACTGAACTGTCATTCCTTCCTTACCCCAGCGGAGAGCAGGTGGGAACGCAAACCCTATTTCCCTGCAGGAAAACGGAAGCCAAGCCTCTTCACCAAGGCCAGCCTATTCGGGCCAAGGAGGATCCTGGGCGGGGCTCCTGGTAAGGAGAATTCTGGGAGGGCGGATGGACTCAGGCTGGGAGTTAGAGCGCCAGGTTCAAGTCCTCCCTTTGCTAATTATTTGCTAATTTAACCTCTGAGTTTCTGGCTCCTAGTTTGTAACGTGGAGATAAGTGATTTCTCCCTCGCAAAATGGCCCTAAGGTTTCAGCGTTGTGTCCTTGGTAATGTCCACACAAAGCTCTGGAATGCCAGTATTTGTGGAGGGGACAGCACATGCCTCAATTCCCAGGTTAACCTTGATTTCCCAAATTCGAGCCACACTGCGGTTCCTCTCCCATGCATGAGACCTGGGCACGCACCAGGTCCCCACCCTGCATCCCTCCTCACCACCAACTTTTAGTACCTGGTGTGAATCGAGATCTGGACACACAGAGTACCATTGACCTGCCTCATGGTGGGGTGGGGAATAGGTGAGGCACAGGAAACAGCCACACCTTTGCACATGCTGTTCATTTTCTGTGCCACACCGTCCTTTCCCTCTCCCTTCTTGTTAGTGCCCCTCGTTTTACAGAACCCCGGGTGGCGCACCTCCTCATTGGCCTCCCTCCCCCAGTTGATCCCTGAGCACTCCCAGGCTCCTTACCCCATGTCCCCCAGGAGCCAGCTTCTCCTGCTGCACACACCTGGCCTTGTAGTAAGGGTTGAGCGTCTTTCCTAGATTCTGGCAGCTTGAGGTAGAGCCCGTCTTTCTCATCAACCTGAGCTCCTGCCTGGCACATGGCCCAGCTCCTAGTTCTAAGTGAGGGTTCTGGTGGTCCTGTGGGTGATACCAGGCCGAACCCTAGGCAGCAGAGATGGGAAAGGTCAGAAGGACATTTGGAGGAACCAAAGTCCCCTCCCACCTAGACAAGACAGGGCCCTGACATCGCTTTACCTTTTTGGAATTAGAGCAAGGCATGGATACTTCACACAGTCCAAAGTGCCTCTCCCCTTCCTCTTCCTTAATTCTTCCCTCTCCCCCTCATTTCTATGCAAATGAGGAATCCAAGTTTGCACAGCCTGATTGGTCCAAATAGTACTGTCCTGATTGGTCAGAATTATGTGTTCTGATTGGTTATTATGGAGCTACTCTGATTGGTCAACAAATATACAAATGAGGCTACAACTGTGAAGTTCTGATTAAACAGGGCAGGTCTTAGTCCATTGGTTGAAACAGGATCCCAGATTTGGCTCAGGTGGCAAGAACACAATGCAGAAAGCTCAGCACCTCATTCTGTGGCTTCTCTCTGACATGCAGAGTGCAAGACAGGCCTCTGTAAACAATGGCTGCTAGGCTCTGATTATGAATTTGGGCCCTGTTAACCATGAGGAGTCCTTTTTGGAAGGTATAATTCTTGGGTCAACATGTAAAGGCCAGTAATGGGCATATAGGAGCCACCAGGGTTTCCCCATGCCTGTGGTTTCCTGTTATGTGGGGCCATTTCTATATTTTGGGGGCCCCAGGTTGGTCTGTGAGGTGTCCCAGTCCCTCTTCACACCCTGAAGGCTTCCCATTCCTTGGTCTCTCTACTCACCTGCTACAGCCTTCCCATTCTTCCTTCATCTCCCACTGCAGGTCGGCCCAGCCTCCCCATCCTGTTATGTGTGAGGCTCTGGGAGCCCCCCATCACTCCCCTGGCCTCCAGGGGCAGTAAGGAGGAGTTTTAACTGGCTCCTATGCATAATACCCTAGAATGGGAGAACACTCACACTCCACAGGATTGCTGCCCCCTCTCCTCATCATCTTTCTCTTAGGCCCCATGCTTCCTTCAGTGACTTTGCTTCTTGAAAGCTGCTTAACATTCATTTTAACCGTATTTATTCTGACCACAGTCTGCACCCGGCCAAGTTCTAAAACAGCCATGAGCTTCCCACTTCACCCTCCAGTTGCACCTCAGCTTCATTCCATCTCCTGCTCATAAACGTACTTTGCCAGGGCTCCTCTCCCAGCCCTAGGACTGACTCTGGAGGTTTCTGCATCTATACTGTCACCCCAACCCCAGGTGCCTCACCAGCCTTCCCCTCTGGTATGCCCAACACTGCCCACTGTAGTGCCCTTGTCCTCCCTCCCTCTCCCCCCCAAACCTCTGCTGTAAAGGTCAAGCAATCGAGCGAGTGTGCAGCCCAAAATATAGCAACTCAGGATAGAATCTTCAGCTTTGGCTTTTAATAAATTAAAACGGACACATGGCCACCCACTAGCCCTTTGGGCAGTGCTCATTCCTAGAGGAGGGGAGTGACCAGGTGGGACAGCACATCCGCTGGGCCTGTGCCCTGCCTTCTCCCTGTGGGTTGGCCGATCCAGAACTGCTGTCAGGGGGTCTGGACAGAGAGCTTGTGGCTGAGGATTGCATGGCACTGGCTGCAGCCGTGTCCAAGCTCAACAGAAGGAAGACAGAGGCCTTCATGGCCAGGTTCCGGCAGCTCCAGCCTCGCTCTGGGCAGAGGCAGAGGCAGAGGCAGAGGAAGGGCAGTGGGGATGGGGCCAAATTGGTCTCAATTTCCTTTTTTCCCCCTTCAATCTTATATATTACAAAAAAAAAATTGTAATATTCTGATGACCAGATCACATCTCCTAGTTGTTTTCACACCAGACCACATGTTCCAATGTTTTTGGTTTGGAATATGTGGTCAATGGAAAAAGAGCAAAGGTGTGGAGTGGGAGCTGGGAGAAACGAGCTGGGAAAAGGCAGCTCCAGGCAGACATGGCCCAGCACTGTCTTTGGTTCAGGACTGTTGGAAGCTGCAGGGGCCCTTGAGTGGGATGGGACCTGAAGTTAAGGCGATGGTCAGGGACTAACCGAATGATTCCATGACTCTCTTTTCTCTTCCTGCCAACAAAGGTGCAGGATGTAGGTGACACCACCCCCGCCCGGGCACACATATTTTCTTCTCCTTGTTTTGCACAAATTACACCCTTAAACAAAATATCCAAGTAGGCCCCTTCCCTCTCGCCACCCTGCTCTTCCAAGTAGCTTTGTGCAGTTCATTCCCAGTCACCTCCTTCCCACATGGACACTCATGGCTTCTGAGGGAGTGACATTGAGGCCCAGAGCACCTCTGAGTCACCGCGGGATAGGCCTCTGCCTCAGCACACGGAGGGACAAGCTCTCTGCATGGGTCAGGAGCTCCTCAATGTGAGCCAGTCCCAGTCCTGCAACCTTGGCCCCGTTCACTTCGAGGATCTCATCCCCCACCCCCAGCAGCCCCGAGTACAGCTTGGCCGTACTTGCATCAGCCATCTCCTGCACGTAGAAGCCTGCAAAGGAAAACAGGAGAACTTAACGAGTGAAATTAAAGACATGCATCTCTGGCACGCTGACCACATGAGTGCTGTTTTTTTTTTTGGGGGGGGGGGACAGGGGTAGGGGCAGCTGCTCATACAGGGGACTTCTGCGCGCGCGCGCGCGCGCGCGCGCGCGCACACACACACACACACACACACACACACACTCATTATTCCCACTCAAAATCACAACTACTTTATATAGAGACATAGTATAACTTCATTTCTCCATCTCCTCTTTTAAAATGCCCTAGTGCAAATAATGCTTTCAGCTGGAATGGTTCACATATACCCAAGTGTGAATGAGCTAATCTTAGCTTTTTCTGAAATGAGCTTTGACTTTAGAATAGGAAAATAATGTGTAAAAATAAGGAAAATGACCTGAGATGTGTCCAGCACTGTGCTAAATGGCCCTCACAAACAAACTCCATTGCTGCCCTCAGGTCGCCAGAGTGGGGGGGTGGGGGGGGGGCGCGGCATCACTGAAGTAGCTGAGGCCCAGTCCAAGCCTGGCTTGCTTCCTGGTATTGTCTAGGGCTAGCCCTGGCCCCAGTCTTCCTTGGGTATGGTCCTCACTTGGAACTCAGAGGCCTCTGGGCAGAAGCCCAGAAACATAAAAATCCTACCCCCATATGTTGCCAAGACCAGTTTGGCTCAATGGATAGAGCGTCGGCTTGGGGGACTGAAAGGTCCCGGGTTCGATTCCGGTCAAGGGCATATACCTTGGTGGTGGGCATATTCACAGTAGGGGGTGTGTAAGAGGCAGCTGATCGATGTCTATCTCTCATCGATGTTTCTAACTCTCTATCTCTCTCCCTTCCTCTCTGTACAAAATCAATAAAATATATTTAAAAAAATCCTACCCCCATATGTAAAGATACAGTGGCTCCTTTCCCTTCTTCATCTCCTCTTTCCCTCCCCCCCCCCCCTGCCCCTGAGAGGCACTGCCTGGCCGGTATGACCATTCTGAGGTCTCCAAAGTGCATTGGGAGCCTTGGGAGAACCCGCTCCTTCTCTGGGGCTGGCTCGGGGAACCCACGTTGGTGGGACAGGCTCGGTGGGGCCTCAGGGCTGGATAGGCCGGGTGACCCTTGCCTCTCCTGGCCACACAGTGCCCCTCTCACCAAAACTTCTGCTGAAAACCTTTCAACCCCCTTCAGCTGCTTCCACCTAAGGCCATAGTCGGCAAACCACGGCTCACAAGCCACATGCGGCTCTTTAGCCCCTTGAGTGTGGCTCTTCCACAAAATACCATGGCCTGGGTGAGTCTATTTTGAAGAAGTGGCATTAGAAGAAGTTTAAAAAATTTGGCTCTCAAAAGAAACTTCAATCATTGTACTGTTGATATTTGGCTCTATTGACCAATGAGTTTGCCGACCACTGGCCTTAGGGATTAGAGGAGGAGCAGACTCTTCCAGGTGAAGCTGGTGAGCACAGGTATCTAAGAGCACCAGCCCAGGTCACTGGAGGGCCACAGGGGGTGATTGACACCATGGGGCAGAATTCATGGGAAGGGGGGTGAAGGGAAGCGGACTTATCGAGGCCTCAACACCCTCCCTGCTGCCAGCCCAGGCTCAGCTGGCTCCCTCCACACTGAACAGCTGCCTGAGCATCACTCCCACCTCCTCTTCCTGGAACCGGCTTCCTTAGAAGGGACACGAAAGGGCAACTTGCCCGGCTCCTCGGTCTCTGACCTAAAGCCATTTAACACATCTTGGACCAGTGGAAAGTCATCTCTCTGATCCATGCATCCCAGCCTCTGGCCCCAACCATCAAGCTTTTCAGAGCCCACCCTGTGAAATCTGGGTTTGCATGTATATTGAAATCTCCGAGGTACCTGAAGGTTTGTAGCTCTGGGTTTAGCAAATCCAATCTTTTGTCAAGTTCCCTGTGGCTGGGCTGAGTTGGGGAGCCCCTTTCGGTGCTTCTCAGCCACCCTCAGCCTCTCCTGAGAGCCTATCTCCCTCCAATAAGATACGTTTGTCACTTTGACTGCACAGGCTTCTGTCTCAGAGGCCCTATCTTCCACCTCTTCCATCTGGGTGTTTCAACTGCTTGCTGGCCTGTCTGCATGTTGGAAAAAGGCAGGTAAAATGGGGAGAGGTGGAGACTGTAAAAATGGCTGCTATACAGCAGGATGTGAGATGGGGAGTGTTGAGAAAACCCAAAAGAATGCAGCCAGAGTCAGACCAGACACTGATGTCACGCCAGCCCTTTGGGGGAGACTCTGGGGTAGATTTTACAACTGAAAGTCATGACAAAAATATGACAGAGAGACTGCTATTGTAGGCATTTATTGGCTGCTGGGCATGGCCTTTGTTAACGATGCATGCTCTTTATGCTGCATGAGAAGCAGAAGGCAAAGCCTGCTCTTCTCTCATGCTTGTATAGAATCGGATGTGGTAGCCAGCAAGTTAACACCAGCATCTTGACTTGTTAGGAAGGACTGCAAACCAACCCCAGCCCACAGCGTCTCCAAGGCCCAGGAAAAAGGATTTGTGGCTGCAGGCGGACGGCTTGTGGCCTGGAGGCCCTGTTCCGCATGCATGGGGGTCTCTGTGACATCCAACGGCTAGCTGCAGCAGCAGAGGCAGGACACCACCTGGCAGGACAGGGAAGAGCTCTCACCAACCAGGTGAGGGAGCCTGGGAGACTGGGCCAGGGCAGAGCCCGAGGAGCCCTTGGTGATTACAGACCCCTGCCCATCAGAACTCCATGACAGGTGATGGGGGAGGGGCTCCCACTGCCTGCAGAGGGACCTAAAGGGCCTTTTGGGGAGTGTTGGGAGGGGGGAGGGGCAGGCAGAGTACATGCTTGGTTGTGTGTGATCTCACACTGACAGATGATGCCAGTTCCCATCTGGAATTCTGCTCCCCAAGTACATTCTCTTTCTGAACAGGAAAGTGAAGAAAAGCACCAGGCACTTTTCTCTGTGCACCCCTGAATGCTCCTTCTGACCACCCTTTGCCTCCCCTATCCCCACCCCCACCCCCGACCCCCCTCCCCAGGAGCCCGCACTGAGGGAGGGACCCGGATGCACAGGCAGGCACATTCCGCGTGCCCAGACACACTCAGCAGCTGGAGGAGGGAACCATTTAAACACATCGGCCACATCAAAGAGACTGCCTCTGAGAGCTGGCAAGCACAGACAGTCTCCTTCTGGCTCCCCAGAGAAACGTTGGCCTTCAAGATTCTGATTTTAAGAATGTCTGCCACCAGACAGCAGAGGGACAGTGGGGTCAGGCCTGCCAATAGCTACCCCCTCCCACAGCCCCTGTGGGGAGAACTCTAGTCCTTTTGATAAGAGGTTCTCTGAACCCAGAGCTCCACTGCTCAGCCAAAGGCCAAAAAAAGCCCTCCGACCTCCAGTGCGGTTTGCTAAGGTCCCAGGGCTGCGGGGCCCAGAAAGCAGAGGGAGCATACCTGAGTCCCGGCGCCGCCCGTTCCCGGAGGCCACGCAGAAACCAAACGTGCCCTCTGGGGAGCGCTGCAGCTGCAGCTGACTGGTGCCGTCCGGGAACACCTCCACCACGCGGCCCACTGTGCGGGCCAGGCTGGGGGCACCCACATCCTCTACGCTGAGCGCACGCCGGGGTGGGGCCTTGGCTAACCTGCACGGAGAGAGGACACAGAGTGAGGGCAGCGAGGGCTGGCCCTGCGCTCCAGGCCCTCGGCTTAAAGAAGACTCGCTTCTCTGCTGACAGCTGGGGCTCCTGCACGAAGAGCCTGCTGGGGCTGAGACTGGCACACCCGTCTGAAGCTCCTCAGTCTGCCGCTGCGCCAGAAGCCCCGGCCCATGAGCAAAGTTTTTAACCTTTTCAGGGTGCAGAGAATTCTCTGAGAACCTGATGAAAACTGTAATTTTATATAAAATTTCCAGGAGTTAATGGACACCCTGGAGTCCCTCCATGGAACTCCAGGTAAGAGCAGCTAAGCTAGAGGGTCACAGGTCAAGGGCCTTCTCCAGGCAGGGTCATAGGTCAAGGGCCTCTTTTGAGGTCCCTGTCTCTGGATCTTTCATTTGATCTTTAGCTGAGCTAAGGAAGCTCTCTGAACATTCTGATTTCAAGATGTCATCAGACAGCAGAGGCATGGGGGAATCAAACCTCCCAATTCCTCCCCCCCCCCCCCTTTCAGTAGCCCACACCTTCTCAAAGCTCAGCTGCACATGAGGTGTGAGTTCCAAGTCTCCTGAGGCACCTGAGGCTCAGAGGATTGGCCTCCCTTTCTCTTTAATGGGATCCCATTCAGGGCCATGCTGCTGAGGCAAGAAGTCAAGCTTATAGCTCCATTGTCCATTCTTGGTTTGTCCTCCAAACCACTTGTCCACTCGCTCACTCTTACCTGCCAGGTTCACTGTGGTCCCCTGGCTCCCCTACCAGGTACAGGCTGGACCGGTCCACCTTGCCACTCAGCAGAGCATGGAGGTTCTGAAAGGAGGCCGCTTTCCGACGTTGGTGAGAGGAGGACACCTAGTGGTAAAGGTCCAATATTGCAGGTGAGAAAAGCCACCTGGCAAAGGATTGACAGAGACTTGACACCCCAACCCTGGCCCTGAGGGCCCTCACTCAAAGTAACAGTAGGAGTTTTTGTCACTACTTCAAAGTGCTTAACAGGAATCGCCATAATTTACTCAAGTAGATGGGTCCATACAGGTGATATGATCTGAAGCTTGCAGGTTTTGGGTTTTCTTGGCTGAAATAACAACTTAGTACTGTAACACTAATTACCACACTAAGAAAATTAGTTTTCTTGTTTAAAAAAAAAAGTGAAATAAAATTAAATATAGGATAACAAATGCAACTTTAGAGTTAAAATGTTAGTGTTTTTTGTGATTCTTTAGTATATCTATCCTTTTTATGATCAGTTACATTCAAAATTTTTAATCTAAGTGTGCATCTCAAACCATTGTGAATAAAAAGATGGGAAAGACAATAGTTCCTTGAGGACTTCCCCCAGTGGTGGGTATGGGGTGGGCACAGGTAAGTGAATAGCCCTAAATGCACTAGGAAGTGCTCGGTTGAAAGTGCAGACGATGTGCAAGGAAGCAGAAAGGGACTTTGGACACTGGGAGGAGCTGACCCCTGAGTGAGGCTTGAGGCAGGTATTTGGGAGGTGAAAACGGGGGCAGAGTGCTCCAGGCAGGAGAAGCAGCAGGTGTGAAGACGTGGAGAGACCAGGGAAAACATGGTCGGCTCTGGGTCACACGCATGGTCTGGTGGCTAGGCTGCAGAGGTGATGGGAGGTGGGTTGGAGCAAGGGGCCGGCCCTGGAAGGGCCTCGGATGGCCTGCTAAAGGGCCCCTGAGTGGTGCTCATCTGAAGAGTTACAAAGTCTGATCTGTGTTCTGGAAACGGACCCAGTGAGGAGCCCATTCGGAAGGTGAAGGGTAGGAATGGTAGGGAGAAGCAGACTTTAAACAAATGTTACAGACATGTATTACATTTGGAATACATGCTCTAGAATAATAAGGCATATTATCAAGAAATTGACTAGGGGGTTGGAGCTGATTTATATCAGAGTTCAAGAAAGCTTCCTGGGAGAAGTCATGTTAACTCAGACCTGAAGGACAAGCAGGGGTTTCCTGACAGCCTTCCAGATGCCGGTTTAAAGGTAAAGAGCCACAGCCACTGGAGGATGTGGGCGCATCAGGTGAGAGAACAGGGCCACTGCCCACTCAGGAGGGTAAAATGGAAACGAAGCTGCTGCAGCATCCACATCATCACCCCCCTCCCCTTACCCCCCATCTGGCGACACAACAGTCTAACAGGAAGTCATTTGCCCTGAGCTATGTCATGAATAGTTCTGGGTGAGACAGATGGGTTCTTCTTTTATCCTCTTTCCTCAGTTCTTGCATATTTCTTTCTACTACTCACTCCGCCCTTTCTCAGCAGCTTGCTCTCTCTTTTCACCCACTCGGCTTACATTGCTGACAACATCTCTACTACACTAACATTGTTGTCACTTCCCTAGAGGGATTTACAGAGGCCAGAGCTCTGAGGGCAGCACACCAGGCGCCCTGGCTCAGATATACAGGGGACAAGTCTAACTTCATGGGGAAAGTGAATTCCTGGAGCATGGTGTCACTCTCGGATCCTCTTCCCAGCTTAGATAAGGCTGTTTTGTTTCTGTGTTTGCCTTCCATTCATTCATTCATCCAGCAAATGCTTATTGAATGCTAACCACGTACCAGGTAGTGTGCAGGCTGCCCTGCATCCACTCACTCACACAGTCACTGTGCATTATGTCTACTATATTCACCATTGCACTAAATATTGGGGATATAAAGATGAACGGTGATCCCTCAAAGAAGTCACACTCCAGTGAGGGAGAGACAAACAAAAATCAGTTAAAACACTATGTGCAAGTTCCACCAAGGAGGGTAGCCCAGAATGAGATAAAAACACAGAGCAAGAAAGGGTCGGAAGTAGCTTCCTGGAGGTTGCAGTGGCTGAAGTGTCCTTGGATGAGAAGGCATTCACAGGCAGAGAAGGTGGGAGAAAAGAAAGATGAAGGCTGAACGTCAGACAGGTGTGGCCTTCATGACAGAACTTCAAGGTCAAGGACAACGGAATGAGTGTTAGTAGGAGAGAGTAATGTGAGATGAAAGCAGTCAGATCACAGAAACCCTCCGGCATTGTCAAGTGGCCTGAACTTTATCCTAAGAGTGGTAAGGGACCACAATGGCCTATATGAAGGAAGGGAATGGCAAGCCAGATTTGCATATCAGAAGGGCCACTCTGGAAGCCAGTGGAGAAAGACAGACAGGAATACCAGTCTGGAGGTCCTTGAGGTAATCCAGGAAGTGATTTGTGCTAGACTTGAGGTTCTAGAATAGGGGTGTCGAACTCAATCAGAGAAGGGGCCAAAATCTAAAATCCAGCCTAAATCGCGGGCCAAATGGTTTACTGAACAGTCATAACCTGTCATTGTGATGGAAACGCAGCGGAGTGCAGTGATGACAGCGCGGTGTGGGCCACATTGCAAGGCCTGGCGGGACGGATTTGGCCCGCGGGCCTTGTGTTTGACACATGTGTTCTAGAATGACCAGGCAGTAGACTCCAGGTCTTGGCAGAGGTGACAGAGTTGAGGGAGGGGGAGAGGAAGGTGTTTAGGATGAGTCCATACTGGAAAGCTGGAGGGGAAGTGTGGGATGTTGCTACCATACTGTGTCCTGGGGACCCGAGTCTCAGAGATCAACTGTGGGGAGGCAGCAGCCTCCTCTTCTCCACCTTCGCCTCCTCAGTGCTTCATTTCTACTTTCACCTTTTGTTCCCATGGCGCCTACACCACCATCTGCCTCGCACAGCCCTTATCTGGGCCCTTTGCACTCACCGGATGCAGGGATTGTAACGATGGGGCTCTCTTCACTTTGGGGCTGCTGGTGTGGGAAGCCGGACCGGGTGCAGGGGGCTGCAGCTGCTCCACACTGCAGCTGTGGGACTTGCCCAACTTGGGCCGTGTGCCCTGGCCCAAAGCCAACAAGAACTTTTTCAGCCCCAGGGTAGTGATGCTGCTGCTGGCTTTCTTGTTCCTGTCAGAAGGGGCAGCTGAGGGCGGGCCAGCTCCTGCACTGACCCCTGGTAGGTCTCTGAAATGCAAGAGTGGACATGAGGTTGGGGGAAGAGGGCTGTGGAAGTGAGGGCGGACTTCTCCTTAGGGCTCTGTGGGCCCCAGACGAGCCAGTACCACACCCCGTGGAGGAACAGACAGGCAGGCTGCAGAAAGGAAGGCTGAGTGGAATCCTGCACGGTAGCTTTCAGAAAGAGCAGCTCAGACAAGACCCTTGGTATTACACTCCACAGTGGGTTTACCCAGTCATTCATTCATTCATTTGCTCATTCACTATTTCTTAAGAACCTCTTCTAGGCCTCTAGTAAGCACTGGGACATGTGGCAAATGACCTGGGTAAGTAAGTGATAGTGGTAAGAAGACAGACAAGGTTCTTACTCTTGGGAGCTTATAGCAGCAGACTAGGAAGTAAAGGAGAGAAGCCATCAGTGAAGCAGAGAGAGACACGGTGGCCAGGGAAGGCCTCTCTGAGGAGATGATATTTGAACTGAAAGTTAAATGGCAAGAAGAAGTCAGTCCCACCAAGCCCAGAAATGAGAGCTCCAGGGAGAAAAAAAAAAAAAGCTGTCAGGAAAGCTCAAGGGCAAAAAGGAGCTCGGTACATTCAAGAACATAGCAAGGCCAGGCCACTAGGACTTGGATATCATCATGAGCAAGGGACAAGAAATAGGTGAAGTCAGACGGGCAGATTACACTGAACACATAAACCAAAGTAAGAGATTTGAATTCTATTCCAAGCTAAAGGAAAAAGATGATGGGTTGTAAGTAAATGACATCATTGAATTAAAGTTTTGAAAACTTTACTATTGTGTGGAGAAGGAACTAGAGGGAGCAAGAGAGAAAGCAGAGAGCAGCAGGGCTGTTAAGAGTTGCACGGAAAGAGGTAAGGCAGCTTAGACCAGGAGAAATGCAGCACGGGTAGGCCTGGGGCCGGGGAGGACTGGCCAGTGGGTTGGAGTCGAAGAGAAGGAGAATGGGGCAGCTAAGATGATGCCCAGGTCTGGGAGTGAGCACTGTGGAGTGGCTCTGTGTTCGCCGGGAAGAGGCCCTGGGGGAAGCAGTTTTGGTCAGAGCGATCAAGAATTCAGCTAGCCTCTCAGACACCCTGGTGGGCATATCAGGGGAAACTGGATGCACAAGTCTGGAGTTTGGGAGCACACAGGGCTGGAGATGGAGGCTTGGCTTTCAGTGGCACGAGAAGCCTTGGGTCATAGGTCACCGTGAATGATGCAGAGCAGGGAAGATGCCACCCTGGCCAGAGGGTGGCTTCCCAGAACAAGGACTCAGACAACACGATAAAGAGAGAATGGCAGTGTCAATGCTGAGCTCTCTCCTCAGTATCTGGTTGTCTGCAAGCCCAGAGCGAGGAACAAGTCCTCTCAGACAGGCTGTCCCAGCCCTGGGGCACCTTGAGGGCTGAGCCTGGCCGGCCAGCTATGTCTGGCACAGCACCTGGAGCTTGAGGCCACTCGGTAAATGTTTGGTGAATAAATAATCAAGCACATTAGATTGGAAATGTTTGGGAGGGGAGCATTGGGGTGCCATGGTTAGATGTAAGTCTGGGAACCCTCCAAGGACTTGGAAGCAGTGAGGTCAGTCATGCTACCACTCCGGGGGAGGTGGGGGATCTTTCTTCACTTAGCACCTCCCACCCCCCACCTCCCATAGGTAGAGCTCACTCTTGCTCCTGTCACTCACTGGGATGACACAAGCCCTTCAGAACGTGACTCTGTCCTCTGCAGGCCTCCCTCTTGATCCTGGCAGGACTCTGGCTCTTCTAAGGCCAGGGAGAAGGTGACACCCATGGAGCTGATGGTGCCCACACCTGCGGGGGTGAGAAAGTCATGGATTCCTCCTGCAACAACCACAGCAACAACCCTCCCATGTCACTGACCCATCCCACAGGGGAGGGGACAGTCCCACCCCAGAGACAGGAGAGCCAGAGAAAGCTGGAGAGGCAGTGGTGAGACCCACAAAACAGGGACGGAGCCTTATTTATTGCTGTTCCCACTTCCCCCGGCACAATCCTGGTGCACAGTAGCTGATTAATTAATGCCTGTTAAATGAAGGGGCTGCTGTGGTAAGTCATGTCCCTCCTTTATCAAGAGACATAGTTGAGGACAGGGGAATATTTTGTATTCCTGGGGCATCTGGAGTGAGCTGGGCAATGAGTTAAACCCTCCCCAGAGATTATTTCATGGGTTCCCAGGAGACAGGTTCTATTATTACCCTCAGATTACAGCGGAGAAGCCTGGAGTGCAAAGGGGTTCAGTGATATGCCCAGCACCTCCTGGCTAATGAGAAGAGGAGCCTCGCCTGGGCCTCTGCTCCAGGCCCCGAGGAGGTGAAGGTTGGCTGCCCAAAAAGCTCTCAGACTAGAAGACCCACAGGAAGTGGTTAAGGGCAGCCAGCCTAGAGCCCACCAGGGAAGGAAACCACACCTTAGTTCAAGGTGGGGCCTTCTTCCTCAGGTTCATGTGCGCAAGGGAGGAAGAGGGAAAGTGTATGTCTGTGTGCAGTGGAGGGGTGGCCAGCACACAGGGCGGGGTGAGTCTTGGCATCCACATCCTCAGTAAGGTCAGTACGGCCTGTTGTCTGCCTGCCCTCTCCTTCTCCATTGTGTCTAAGCCCTCCATCCCTCCTGAGCCAGCCCAGGCCCACAGCTGCCAGAGCTGTGGGCACATTAAAGCAGGCTGTGTGGGGTGGGCTTGTATCTTCTGCCTAAAAGTGGCTGGGGTGCTCACCTTAGCTCACAACATCAGGGATCAGAGCTAAGGCTGCTGCTGCCCAGGATTTGCCCACATTATGTGGACCCTTCCAAGGACAGCTGATATCCTACATCCTTTGCCTGCTGAAACACACCAGTCTGCCCAGCAGGGCCAAGGTCTGGGAGGTTGCCAGAGAGCAACCCCAAAAAACCTTATAAGAGCTTTGCCTGCTGGTCACCAACCTTTCACACCTCACAGACCACCAGTGGTCCTCGGACCACCGGTCGGCGACTGCTGCTCTGGACAGCATGTCTGTGCCTGGCCATGGAAAGTCTCAAGGGCAGGACTGCTACTGAATTAACTCACTTATTGCATTCATTCCCCACAGGGTCTAGAACAGTGCCTGGCATGTAACAGGTGCTCAAACAGTACTGAATGAATGAAATGAAGACATTGAAGGGGCATTTTAGCATTTACTACTCTAAGCAAACAGTAAGTCCTAGAGCTGCTGCCTCTCCTAGCTCTGCTGATGGTAAAATTTCCTCCAGCAGCCACTTAGCTTGGACCTTCTATACACCCCTCAGGATCCCCAGAGGTCAGAGGCTTCAGCACCACTTTCCCATGCTCTGCCTCCCCAGGGGAGTTGTTAACCCGCCTCCTGGCTGATGTTGAGCCCTGCACCCAACCCATAGACCCACAGACCCTGCTAGCTTCCCTGACACCTGCCATGGATCTGGGGGCTCCATGGGGCTGCTAGGAATGGTGTGTGACTATGTAACCTATGAAGGTGGGCAGTCAGAGAAGGATGTGTGAGACCACAGATGTGGCCTCAGCTCTAGGACTGCCCCAGACTGGGGCCACCTTACCATCTCTGCCGTTCTCCAGGGGTGCCTCGGGCTCCTGGCTGCTGGTGCCCTTCTCCACCCGGCCCTCGAGGATGGCGCCCCCCGAGGACTCCCTCAGCCCCCCAGGCACGCTGTTGTTGCAGTTGTTGGTGGAGAGGCCCAGCAGTGGGTGCCAGCCTTGGTGGCCGGAGGGCTGTGTCTGTGGGGGGCTGAGCTCACAGGTCCTGGGAACTACACTTCCTGGAGGAGGCCGGGGGGTGCCCACAGATTCTCCCCGGTCACCAGGCCTGCGGGGTGCCTTCCTGTGAGGTGCAGGTGACGTGGTTTTCCTGGAAGGAGGAGGAGTTGGCACCCAGCCCTCCGAGGAAAGGGAAGAAGTTGGCTGCTGGGCCTTGTGTAGGGCAGAGGGCTCTGCGTGGCTCTGTTGCAGGGGGATGGTTTCCAGAGACTTGTGGCTTTCTATAACCTGGTCTTGTCTGCCTGGCCCCAAGGGTGCCAGCTTCTTACAGGAGGCCGGGGCACAGGCCTTTCCCCACAGAGCCAAGGAATCCACAGCGGGAGCCCAGGGGATTCTCAGTCCTGGTTGCAACTCCCCCTGGGGCCCCAGGGCGGCCCTCTCGGGTTCCTGCACAGGAGGCTTGGAGGAAGCGTTTTCTCCGGGGAACAGAGTCCCCTCAGGTGTGTGTCCTCCGCCTTCTTTCACTTCATCTGAAAACTCCAGGAGATCAGCCCCAGGCAGGTTGTGCGGGGCCGGGGCCAGAGGGCTCTCAGGTGGCTCCCTTTCCGCCTTCCGGAACCACCTGTGGCCTCCACGAGGCCTGGAGCCCCGCAGTCGGGGGCCACGGGCTCTGAGGGGCTGAGAGGTCCCGGCCTCTTCGCTGTCGGTCCTGCAGCTGTCTGAGGTGTCCGTGCTGTCCAGGGCGGAGTCCACCTCCAGGGGACACACAGAGTCTCCAATTTGTGTCTCCCGCATCCATTCGGTGCGGGGCCCTTGCTCGGCGGGGAGGAGTCTGAAGGGGGCGCTCAAACCCCAACAGCTAAGGGGCTCTGCCAGCACTCCCTCCAGCCCACAGGCAGCAGCCTTGTGCTCCTGGAGGACCTTGGGGTCCGGGGCTGCCTTCCCAAGGGCAGGGCGTGCGTCCTCGATGCAACTGCCGCAGGCTCGGCAGGTCCTCTGGATGCCCCGTGTGGGCGGCCACTCCGGGAAGGCTCTCTGATCCAGGTGGCCCACAAGCCTGTGCAGAGTCTGTTCGCTTGGGTCCCTGCGCAGGAGGCCCCCGGCCATGTAGTCTGCGAGCTCTGGCTTGGAGCGCAGGGGGCCCTGCTCTGCCATCTGCAGTGCGGGGCCCAGCACCTGGCGCTGGCGCTGCTGCAGCCGGTCCAGGTAGCGGGACTCGGCCTCCCGGGCGGACTCATCCTCGAAGCGGACGCGAGACGGGGAGGGGCCCCGCTTCGGCCACTGCCCGCTGCTGGACTCCCCGCTGGAGGAGTCGCTTGTGCTCCCGTTGTGGATGTTGTCTCTGCGGGCAAAGGGCACCCTCCGGTCCAGGGCTGGGTTTCTCCTGATGGGGAGACAGAAGCACGGTCATGGGAGTGAGGAGGAAGGTAGCCTGGGGTGCTCCGTGGTAACTACAACCCCGAAGTTACCCCAAATCAGGTTCCTGGGGAGTCAGGCAGCAAACCAGAGTAGCTCACAAGCTCATCCAGAGCCTGAGACATAGCACTAAACAACACCCACAGGACCTTCTTTATTGTGCATTTCCCTCTGTTGCCAGCTCAGCCTGAGTTAAGATGGAACATTACTAAACTGAGGATTGTACAGAAAGATGACACCAAAGTCCTCCAGGGTGGTGTGCGTGATGTGTGTGTGGCACATGAGCCTGGCCATCATGGCATCTGGTAGTGATGACTATGGCAGTACTGTATTTGCTATAAAGATTTAATGGAAAAAAGTACATTTTAAGAAACCAGAAGTTAGGGTTTCTTTCTTTTTTAAAATATATTTTATTGATTTTTTACAGAGAGGAAGGGAGAGAGTGATAGTTAGAAATATCGATGAGCTGCTAACTATGTGCCCACAACCAAGGTACATGCCCTTGACCGGAATTGAACCTGGGACCCTTCAGTCCGTAGGCCGATGCTCTATCCACTGAGCCAAACCGGTATTGGCAGAAGTTAGGATTTCTTGCTCTCCCTCTGGGTTCCCGATCACCTTGCTTAGACAAAATTGAGTCAGAACGACGCTGATGCTCCAGATGCTCCCTCTTGTCTGTTCCCACACCCCTTCCTTGTACCTGTCCCACTTCAGCCCCTTAAGCAAACGCATCCTGAAACGCTGTGATGAGAATTGCTGTGCTAGGAAAAGTCTCCGCATTCTGTCACCAGCCTGTGCTCTGGGAGACACTGTGCCTGGTGGTCAAGTCAGACCTCACACCAGGGCACCCTGAAGCCAGGTTACCTGACTTTCAGACCACTGTGCGAATGGACCCATCTTTCTGTCAGAGGCCAGGTGAGTAAGTACCATACTTCTTCCTCCCTGAGGACCCACCTACACCTGGATCACTTCAGGCTGTCAGGACCAGAGGAAGGGCATCTAAAAAAGGATCCAGGTCCTGCCAGCCACATCACTGACCTTAACTTGTATTTTATTTTTTTAAATAAATTTTATTGATTTCAGAAAGGAAGAGAGAGGGAAAGAGAAACATCAATGATGAAAGAGAATCATTGATCAGCTGCCTCCTGCGTGCCCCGCACTGGGAATCAAGCCTGCACCCTGGGCATGTGTCCTGACTGGGAATGGAACCTTAATCTCCTGGTTCATGGGTCGATGCTCAACCACTGAGCTATGCCAGTCGGGCTGACTTTAACTTTATATATATATTTTTTTTAATTGATTTTTTACAGAGAGGAGGAGAGAGGGATAGAGAGCTAGAAACGTCAATGAGAGAGAACATCAACCAGCTGCCTCCTGCACACCCCCTACCAGGGATGTGCCCACAACCAATGTACATGCCCTTGACCGGAATCGAACCTGGGACCTTTCAGTCCGCAAACCCGCTCTACCACTGAGCCAAACCGGTTTTGGCTTAACTTTTAATACAAGATGGTGAATTGAGTCATGGAATTTGGCATGGAATTCATGCCAAAGATAGAAATAATATTTTTGTTCCCAAAGGAGAACTGAAGGACTGCTTAATCACATAAGGCACCTTCAACTCAAGTATTAAAACCCAGAGGCCTCCACCATCAGTGCTGGGACAGTGCAGAAAGGTGCCATGAGGATTCGGAAGACAAGTGCAGAGCAAGCAAGGCACTTCAGCAGTGAGCAAATCTCACCCTGCTAAGCTTCTCAGCCAGCAGGTACCTCAGTATTCACCCTCGGGGAGACTCTGTCAGGCTCAGAACCTGGGCTGAAAGGCCTGTGGGAAGGATGGGAAGGCCATCTTCCAGAGCCCACTTCCTATAACAATGCTGTCCTCACCACACTCTCCATATGTCCCACACAAGCTCTACAGTTTTAGCCAGCCACTTTCTGACACAGTTAATGACACTTATGGTGCCACCTCCCAGGTCCTGCATCTTGCTGACATGTTTATCCTCCTGAGATTAGACCAATAGTGTATCTGTCCCCCAAACGGCAAGAGCGTGTATTTCCAGGAGCTGCTTGACTCAATGCTGATGTGTATCCAGGGAATGCAGCTACTGCTACTTCTTCACCTCCTGGCAAAGCCTGTCTGTCTGTTCCGGCTGCCCCAGCCATCTCCACTAGATCTAAGATACAACTGGGGATGGCTCTGCCTCCCCCCACTCTTCTGTCATCTTTCACTGCTCTTTGGAAGGAGTGATGCTTCTGGGCTGGGGCATCTAACCAGGGCCCAGGGCCTATGTGGCATCTCCATGTTAACTCAGCATGGCTCTCCAGGGCGATTTGACAAGCGTAACCTTTAAAAGCATCTGTAGCAAGCCATCTGGCGTTGATTTTTCAGCTCTACCCTCTGAGGATTCACCAGTGCTGCCAAATCAAAGTAATTCCTTTCTGGACACAGCAGCTGCTAAAGTGGGTCACCTTGCTTTTCGATAGCATTTCTATGGCCAGGGGACAGGCTGGCAGAGGAAAACCTACTTTAAGGTCAGTGATTGGGTTGTTGTGAGCTGCTGTCACGATTCAGGGAAGAGGAAGCACGCACGAGTACATTTACGCAGTCAAGTATATTTTGCAAATAGACTTGCCTATGTGAGGCTACCCAATCCAACCTATATATCTATGGCAGTGGTCGACAAACTCATTAGTGTCAACAGAGCCAAATATCAACAGTACAATGATTGAAATTCCTTTTGAGAGCCAATTTTTTAAAACTTAAACTTCTTCTAACGCCACTTCTTCAAAATAGACTTGCCCAGGATGTGTTATTTTGTGGAAGAGCCATACTCAGGGGGCCAAAGAGCCACATGTGGCTCGCAAGCCGCAATTTGCAGACCACTGACCTATGGAAAGTGAAAGAGGAGGGTTCCATGGGAGTATGAGACATGACTCATCCCTTTGTTTAGTGTGTCTCCACACTGTATATACTCTCTGCTCACTAGTCACTTAGTAGCTCTTTCCATTATCAGATCAACTGTGCGGTATTGCAGTGCTTGTGTTCAAGTAGCCCTTACATACATGCAGAGAATAGTTAGGTTGCTTCAGAGAAGCCATGCCCATTCATAACTAGTGCTCTCCACCCAGAGGAAGACAAGGCACAAAATGTGGAAATAAAAGGGTAGCCTGTTTGGCACCGGTTGCCAGGGTATGGGGGTCTCCTGAGCCCCTCTCCTAAGGGTCACACTGACATGAACCCAGAGGCAGGCCACAGCCCTCTGCTCACGCTGGAGTCATCTCAATGGTGATGTGAAGGTCCTCACCCTTTCATGAGTGGATTCAGCATCAAAGAGCATGTGGTCCAGTTCCACTGAGAATCCTCATTTCCTCTAGTGCCACGTAGTGATGAAAACTGGCAGGCCCACCATGCCTGCCATGCCATGGAAGCCACAGGCCTTGTCAACCACAGAGAGGGTCCTGCTCAGGCCTGGTGCAATCTGACATGGGCTGGCATTCTCACCTCAGGCCCAGAACTCCACATGTAAGTGGTTCCTTGCAGTGCACCGTACATGGAACAGTCACAATGATGGTGACAGGGTGTCGCTTAGGGAGCAGCCACATATGTGAAGTGCTGGTCTGAATGTCCTTGAACTTGTTTCTTTCCTATATGTCCATCCGTGTTGCCCTCAGGCTCACCCACAGCTCCAGCATCATGAAAACAGGGTAATACCCAAATCTGCAGTTCTGACCTCTCTCTTCCTCTGCAGATCCCATAACCAACTGCCTGATAAGGGTCTCCAGTGGGTGTCCCGGGACTAACTCCCTTCAAAGCCTGACCCTGCACGTAGGCTCCACTCCTTGCCTAAGGTCCCATCGAACCTTCAGACACCAAGTCAGAACCCTGGGCTCCGTCCTGGATGCCTTTTCTCTCCTAATTCCTACATCTATTTAATTACGGTAGTCCCCCCTTTTCTGTGGATTCACTTTCCGTGATTTCAGTTACTTGCGGTCAACAGCTGTCAGAAAATATTAAATGGAAAACTCCAGAAATAAAGAATTCAGAAGTTTAAAACTGCATGCCATTCTCAGTGATGTGATGAAATCTTGCCCTGTCCCCACACCATCCCACCAGGGACATGAATCATCCCTTTGTTTAGTGTGTCTCCACACTGTATATGCTCTCCGCCCACTAGTCACTCAGTAGCTCTCTCAGTTATCAGATCAACTGTGTGGTATCGCAGTGCTTGTGTTCAAATAGCCCTTATTCCACCTAATCATAGCCCCAAAGAGCAATAGTAGTGCTGTTGACAGTTTGGATATGCCAAAGAGAAGCTATAATGTGCTCCCTTTAAGTGAAAAGGTATGAATGTGGAGGAAAAACATAGGACAGTTCAGTACTATCTCTAGTTTCAGGCATCCACTGGCGGTCTTGGAACATATCCCCAGTGGACAGGTGGAGACTACTCTAAATTACTTTTAAGAGGTAACACTCACGGAGTACTCACTATGTGCTGGGAGCTATTCTAAGCACTTTACATGTACTTATCAACTCTTATAACCCTCACAACAACTCTGTAACATAGGCTCTATTATAATCCCCATTGTGCAGATAAGGAAACTGAGGCACTGAGACTTCCCCAAAGACACACAGCTAAAAAGTGGCAGAGCCAAAATTCAACCCAGTGGTCTGGTTCCAGAGTCTTCTAACCACTCAACTGCTGCCTCATTAAAGCTGCTTCCTTCTGGCTCTCAGTAATCTCTTGTCTCCAAACCCTCCTCCCTATCACATTGCACCAGGAGCATGGTGCAGTCTCCTCAGTGCCCCCGAACCCCAGATCCAACACATCCTTGCAGCCAGGACCACTTTATTGAATCACAAATGTGATCATGCTACCCACCTGCTTAAAACCTTTTGTGATGCTTTGCTGTTATGAGAGACATGCAAACTGCTCAGCAGGCCTGGAGGCTTGCACAACTGGCCTGCATGGAGCTCTCTGGCCTGCACACCATGCACCCAGCAGGTCCTCAGGCTCCAGCCTGGCCGAACTCCTGAGCACAGTACTTCTGCTCTTGGTTTCTGCCCTGGGATGCTCACCCCTGCCTCCCTCGTTTGTCCAGTGAATATGCAAGTCTCCTTCAAGCCCTAACCTAGAAACCAACTCCTCTTGAGCCTCCCAGTCCTTCCCAGGTGAAGGTACAGATTTCCTGCCCTGCAAACACATCTTTCTCCCTACACCACGATCCACAGAATTGTATTGATCGCCTTGCCTACCTTTCTCCCTGGAGACAGTGACTTTTGTCCCTCCAGGGAGCTCAGATTATGTTTCATTCATCTTTGAGCCCTCAATGCTGAACACTCTAGGCCCTCAGTAAAAAGTATGTTGACCAACTAAATGAATTACCGTATTTTTCGGACTATAAGACGCACCGGACCATAAGACGCACCAGTTTTTAGAGAAGGGAAATGAAGAAAAAAAGATTCTGAAACAAATAGTGTCCTAAAATATTTTATGTGCATTAAAACCCAACATCACAGTCATAAACACATGTAATCAACCCTGTAAAGTAAACAGCAGCATTTAGAACCATTTTAGAGCCGGGCAAGCACACAGAGACCACACAGAGCCGGGCAAATAAAAAAAACTTTTTTTTTTAAAGTATATGTGTAGGCTATATTTGGACCATAAGACACAGGGACTTTTTCCCCCCACTTCTGGGGGGAAAAAAGTGCGTCTTATGGTCCGAAAAATACGGTAAAGCAAGCACCCGATATGGGAGACACACACACACACACACACACACACACACACACACACACGGGAGGAGTGAGCAGAGGCATTTTGGCTAGGTCTCATCTCCTTTCCCAGGCCCCACTCACCGGCCACTCTGGTCAATGGTGGGTATGATATCATGGCTGGCACGGAGGGGTCGGGTCCTGGCCTTCATGCGGGCGCGCTGCAGCAGGTGCTTCGCCTCCTCATGCCTGGGGCTCCTCAGCACGGGCTCCGGCTTGGGGCCAAAGGTCCTGCGGGGCGGCGCACAGGCAGGAGCAAGCGGGAGAGGGATTAGAAGAAAATAACATGGATTAGGAGGGCTTTAACAGTATCTAGCACGGCAATGCCAGGAAAACCCTGCATGGGCCGCCTTCCTTGTCCAACTTCCACAGAAGGCGCCAGGCCCTGAGCTACTCTGGACAGGGCTGCAGAGCTGGCCCGCCCTGAGCATCTGCTCGGTGAGCAGAGGCCGAGAGCCCAGGAGGATCTAGAAAAGTGTGGAGGAGTCTCCAGATTACTTTATTGTTCCTTTCTCGGCAGACAGCAGGAGTTATAATGGCTGGGGGAGGGAGAGAAAAGGGCCTCGGTTGTTGGGTTGGGCCTGTGCCCAGCCAGATGGTCTTTACACGCATCATCTCCCCCTCTCCTTCTGTCTCTTTGCACCCACACATACCCTCTCAAGCTCCCGAGCACACCCTGCGCTCCCCTCACAGGCACAGGGACTCAGGGCTCTGCCCATTGCAGCTTTCCTCCTTGGAGCGATGACATTTTTATAGGTCCTGGTGTTTTTCTGCCTCAGTCCCAACCCAGACTCATTAGGCATCCGTTGAGGGCTGGGAGAAATTAAGCTGGACCCATACCAAGTTGGCAAATGGCTTGATTTTCATAATTATAAGGGTCCTCCTCACCAGCCCTCATCACCGACACATTGTGCTGCCTTCCCAGCCAGTCCAGAGCTGCGGAAAATGACAGCAGCCCTTTTTCAACGCTGCCTTGCAGACAGTGACATACAGCCAGCGCCGGGCTACAGCAGTAACAGCATCCCCACAGACTCCCCCCGATAAGATGTTTCTCTCCGCAGAGCTCACGCGCCCAGCCAGGCTGGCCGGAGGCAGGTGTCCTCTCCGTCTGACAGATGGGGGTGTTCCGGAGCAGAGAGGCACATTTGGCACGTTGCTCAAGGTCGAACATCAGTTGAGAGCAGAGCAGACGATAGCCAGCCCCGCTGCCTCCAGCATCCTCCCCGTATCCTCTGTCCCCTTTCCTTCCTGGGTCCCAGGGACAGGCTGAGGCTGTTTGTGGCCAGAGTCAGACATGCTCTTTGACGTGACTTCAGTATTCCCGTGGCTGCCCCGGCCTCACCAGGGAGGCCCACAGGAGGAAGCTCAGGCAGGGAGAGGTTCAGCAGACCTAGATCTCTGCCTACCCCTTTCCTTCCCACCCGCATGTAACCTGGAGAAATGGGCCTTGGGCTGATAGGGAGAAGGTGCCAAGTAGTTTCCTAGATGACAGGTGACAGATATGTGAGTGGCATAACTCTGACATCCTCTTGGGACATCCTTAGATAAGCTCTGGGCAGTCGAGGATTTTTTTTTTTCTTTTTCTCTCTCCCTCTCTTCCTTCCTTCCTTTTTCTTATTTTTTGTGCCTAACCCTGCTTTGAGGCCCAAGAAAACAAAAAGTGCTGCTGGTATAAAGGCACCATCTGTGCCCATGAACCCTGGCAGGGCCCAGGCACAGTTTTGGAACCAGAAGGGCTGACTAGAGTGATGTGCAAGTGAGTCTCCAGGCCTGCTGCCCTGCGAAGCCTCTTTTGGCAGGAGAGGCCTCCCTCTGCACGGCTTCCCAAGCAGGCGGCTCCTCCAGCACACTGCCGAGAGCAGCTCTGCTCCCTGGGGCTCCTGCTCCGACAGCAGAGATAATGAGGTTACCAGCCCGGAGAGCCGCCCCTGCAGCTGTGGGCCTCTGGCTGCCAGCCTGAAAATTCGGAGCCTTCCGGTGACAGCTGCGGTTCCCTGGCTGTCGGAGGGCATTTGTCACAAGACCTGGTGGGCAGGCAGGAGGGCCCCAGGCAGCTGGCCAGATGCTGCCAAGATCGGCCTTGCCCCGGGTTTCTATTGTATTTCCCTTCTGTCCCTCCAATTGGAATGGTTGATTTTTTATTCCCCCCCCCCCCCCCCATTAGCTGCCCTGCTTTGGTTCCTGACACACAACGCTGTTTTTTCCACTGATTAGAAAAACAGGGCTTTTGGGGCGCCTGGAGGCATCCATGCAGTAACAAACTGAGAAAGGGGGAGAGTGGCAGTCACCTTCACAGATGGCAGCCAAGGTGAGCGGGGGAGGCAATTGCTAGTTATGGTACACCCCGGAGAGGGTAGGCACTGCCCAGCCCTTTGAGGGCAGGTGGTCTTTCTCCCATGATAGGGGGCAGGCAGTATGGTCCTGAGGGACGGTGGGCCTGCCACAGTCTAACTGCCCACCTCCTTTGGCCGTATCGTACTGGTCCACTGCTGGGGTGCCAACCCCAGCAGACAGGCAGGTTCAGACTCCTCCATCTGAGGAAGCCTTTCCAGTCTAATCTGACCTTGGCTTCTGCCAAGGGCACACAGCCCTGGAGCCAAACCCTTCCCATCATGACCTATCACCCACAATCCCAGCTCTCACAATTCTGGGAAGTCTCCTGAAAGGGTTGAGCAGTTAGTACATGGCTAGATAAAGGCAATTCCACCTGAGAACAGATAGCTTTGGCCCCTTTCTTGAAAGCCTGCACATCTGGGCTCATTTGCTCAGGGGGTAGGGCACAGGAGTCAAGTGGCTGAGTGCTTTTCCTCCCTGGGCCTCAGTTTCCCCACCTGTAAACAGCAGGCACTTAATAGGGGAGAGGACTCCCTACCCTGTGAGTCTGTGAGTGTACTCCAAAGTGGGGTGGGGAGACTTTGACACTCTCTCTCTCTGTGGGGTTCACACCACAGATGTTTGGCTCCCAAGGAGCAGCAAACCCTACAAAGACAAGTGGAATTCCATTTGCTCCTCCAACCTCCAGGGTCCTAAGCGGCTTCGGCTTCCCGAGGACAAAGGGCAGCCCCTCCCCTCCCCGCTGACTTTTCCATCCAAGCCAGTTTCGTGTTAAAGGCACACAGGCAGGTGGAGATCTCAAGTTCTCTTTCTGCAGCCGTCATAATCCTGGATTAAAACAATAAGCTCCAAGAAGACTGGGTTTAACCCTTACATCCCAGGAAGATGATTTAGGGAAATAAGTTGGAATGTTAACACCAACTGACATTTCCCAGTTTATAGGGTGAGGCAGGTAGAGAAAACATATAGTGTACAGAACATATATAAGCTTTCTGCCCAGCATTTGTTCCATTTTTGTACATTATCTAGCCTTTTGAGGACCGAGGATAGAGCACGCCTGCTGTCATACGGTGTGCGGTTTCCTGAGAGAGGGAGGGGAAGAGGTAAGGAAAGCCTGGGACTTTTTATTCTGGGCTGTGTGCTTCATGAGGCAGGGACCTTATCTTGGTGCCTTCTTCTCCGGGCTGCAGGCTGCTGACAGGCCAGAGCCAAGAGCGGTGGCACTGGGCAGCCTGCCTAGGCTCATATTCTGGACTGCCACTTACGAGCTGTGTCACCCTGACAGGTTACTGAGGGGTTAAGTCTCAGTTTCCCCATCTGCTAACTAAGGGCTCAGTAGTTAAGCGAGACCTGAGTCCCTTTAAGGAGGTTAGCATAGAGCTGTTCACATTTGCTGTGATTATTTTTTTTTAATATATTTTATTGATTTCGTACAGAGAGGAGGGAGATAGAAACATCGATGAGAGAGAGTCATCGATCAGCTGCCTCTTGCACAACCCCTACTGGGGATGTGCCCGCAACCAAGGTACATGCCCTTGACCGGAATCGAACCCGGGACCTTTCAGTCCGCAGGCCGACGCTCTATCCATTGAGCCAAACTGGTTTCGGCTGCTGTGATTATTGCTGTTATTAGTAGCACTGTTTGTTTGTTAAATTACTCTCACCCCCTTACTGAGTAAAGAATGCAATCCCTAAACCAGGAACTGAAGTCACCTGCCAAAGAGATGGCCTGGTAGTAGTCTGTAAGGGAAGTCCTGTTTGGAAGTGACACACCATCTCAAAGCTAGAGGGGGCGAGGTGGTGCTTTTGCTTTAGACTTTCAAAAACCTTTGACAGGGCCTCACAGGAAATCATCTTCCAAAGAGGAGGCTGTTGGGTAGCAGAGGGAACCAGCGGCCTAGACCACAAACAGGAGCTTCTCTCAGCAGAGAAGGAAGAGAGGGCATCCTTAAGAAGGACTGCTTAGAACATGCTTCATCTAACACCTTGCAAAGGATCTGGGTGGAGCTGCACAGAGTTTACCTAGGACATCAAAGTGAAGGCTAACACGTTCCCCACTGGGCTGGCCGTCTAGTGTGTGGGGGCAGGTGTCCAAGACACCCCAGGTGGAGGGACAATGGCCTGCTCAGCTCTGGTGGCCAGGCAGGAGCGCTTCCTTTTCCTGAATTTTAGCCTGACTCCCCAACGGTGACTTATTAAATTGGCTTTCTTGAGCCCCTCTATTCATAAAGGTTGGGACCTGAATGAGATTTTAGTGTGAGGTGTGTGTGAGTGCAATAATGACATGGCATCGAGTCCCAAGTGACACCAGCTGTGTGGTAGGGCTTCAAGTGTTAAGTTAGCATCCTTCCCTCTCCATCTAGGATTTAGAACACTAGATGCGCCAGGAGCATGGTATTTAAAAACACTGGTGAATGGTTAAGTTACTTTTTCTTTCTAGTTTTGGTCTTGGTGGTTTGGGGAGTGATAAGAGGGCTTACCTCTACTTTTCCTTTGGGCCTATATCTGAATCAGTAGGCAGGACGGGGAATGGTGGGGACAAGCAGGGTGGGCAGGGCTCAGTCATTCTTCCTTTCATTCTTGCCTTGGGTGCCCTCAGGTGTACCTACAGCCCCGAGAATCCTGGGAGTTACAGGAGTGTTGCTTCCCCCATGCTCACCCCCAGGACTCATCATGACCTCCTGATCCTAGGGGCCCAGAAGATCCAGAACCTGACTTCTGAGCAAAAATGGCTCCAAACACTGGGCTATGTGAAACATGTACCAGGCCAATCTCTGAGCAGACAGCAGTGGGCAGCAGCTCAGACTCACAGATGCCCCCTGAACCTCCACTGTGAGTGTCCTCTGACCATCCTTCCCAGTCAGGACACTGCCCACCCCCCTAATCACTTAGTGTGCCCGCTTTCCCCAAGACACTGGTGGAGTGGCCAGAGCAAGCTCTGTGGGATTGCAGGGTGAGATTGGAGGAGGAGAGACCCTATACATGATCCGAGAACACCACCTCGATTGGGAAAGGAATTGGGCAATAAGTGCTTTGCATTTGTACACTTTCCCTAAGGGTTTTTACAACTGCTATTTCCTTTTAGACTCACACAGTACTATGAAATCAACCACACACATACTATTTGTCCCGCTTTAAAGATGAAGAAACTGAGGCCAGGCAGGGGAACCGAATCCCACAAAGCAAGAGCACGTCCTTTGCAATGTTCTGCACGGTGAGTGGTTTTGCTGAAGTAGCAGGCAGGCCCAGCCTGGGACATGGGGTGACTGGCACCCTCTACTCGATCTCAGAGTTGACAATCCATAGTGGCCCACTGTCCCCTGATCTGCCCTTGTGCTTTCTCAAGGTCTCCTACTCTCCCATTGATCGGTAAATGGAGGGACAATGGTGAGGAGGGAGGGAGAAAGGGTGCACTGTGAGTTCTTACCTGTTCTGGTCTGAGTCCTGCAGGGAGATGCCTGAGTCCCAGTCCATGTCCCCGGGCGGTTGCTCTAGGACCCAGAACAGAAGCGGAGATCAGGGCAGAGCCAGAAACTGGGCTCTCCACTGCCACTTGATGAATGTCAAGGAGAAAAGTGTCTCCAGAAGCCATTTACTTCCCAGATAAACCCGCTCCTCTCCTCTGCCTCTGTCTCCACCTGAGAGGTGGAGGCATGGCCTGTCACAGTGGCCGTGGTAGGCCCTTCCGTGGGCTAAGGGGCCCACACAGGACCTCTCTCAGGAGTGTGTGAGGAGTGAGCTCTTGAAATAGGAAGGAAAGGAGGGACAGAAGTGTCTTCTCAGGCTTGAACACTTGCACAGCCCAGTGGTGCTACTGCCTGAGTTCAGTCCACCTGACAAGATACTTAGCCACTTGGTGGTGAGGGCACATCATTGGAGGGAGATGCAAAGAGCCTCTAGAAGAGGCTACTTGCCACAGGAAAGAAGCTATGGTAGCCGCCATCCCCAAGCACAGAGGGTGGCCTCCCATTGGCCTGGGGAGTCATGGGGGTACTCAGCAGATAGGGCTGGCTGTGGGGGGAGGAGGTAAACAATCTATGTCAAAGCCAAGCATAAGAGGACATCCTGATGATTCTGGTGACAGGCAGCACACCTCCCTCTCCTGCCCCAGCCCCTGCTTTTCCTTCTGGACTCCCTTCTGCTGTCCCCACCACCCAGACCTGCAGAGTGAGCCTCACCTGATACAGCTCTGTCCCAGGAGAGAGTCCGAGCTGGGACTCCCACCTTGGGGGGGCCCTGCCCCCCAACAATGAGCATCTCCTGCAGAAGAAGGCGGTTCCTCTCCACCTGTTCAGACAGGGGCAAGGCACTGCGCCCAGTGCCCAGAGCCCCCAGGTCTCCAGCTCTCCAGAGGCCCCCCAGCAGGCCTGGTCTGGGGACAAAGTCCTCCTCAGAGGTTAGAGACAAGCTGTCCAGGTCTTCCCCTGAATATAGATCATCCTGAAAGGGGCATGACCTTCCTTTCCTCAGGTTGGGCACGTGGGTAATTCTGTCACAAGGTCTAGGGCCCCTAGGTCGTCCTGAAGTGACTCTGTGGATGGGGCTGTCTTGCAAAGAGCTGGACCCTGGCAGCAGACTCCTCTCATGGTCAGGCAGAGTCCACAGGCTCCTCTCATTGTAGCACTTCAGCCTAGGGGTGGGCGGCCTGGGAGGTCTGGGGCTCCCATTCATGGCAAGTTCCTTCTCATTGGCACTGTTGTCCAGCTGTCCTTCGTTTGGGTTCTGAGCATGGAGAACCACAGCCGTATCCAGCAAGGGAGACCCTGCTGATGGATCTCTGGCTCCACCCCCTTTGACTCGTCGGCATTTGGGTTTCTTGGGGGATGGTCTCTCATGGGTAGTGAGGCAGGGGCTTGCCCCCTGTTTGCCTGCTGTCATCTTTTCCTTCAAGGCCCTGACCTTGGACTCCAGCACCGAGGGTCCTTGGGGCTGTATTCCCCATGCCCTGGGAGGGTGGGGGGCCATCTGGCTGGGTGTTCTGTCTTCCTGAGGGCAGGACCAGGGTCTTGGGAGTTGTCCATTATTGAGCTGTGACTCAGTGCCACTTCTCTCCATAGCTGAGGTCACTTCCATGGAGCTGGCTATTCTGCTCTCTATTTTGGATTCTCTGGAAAATAAAATAGACAGAGCTCCTTAGACCCCACACCTGGCTAGCTCCAGCAACTTCCTGGGTCCCCAAAGTGCCTTCATATTGAGCCCTGTCCAGACAAGAGTAATCTGGGGGCAGAGCAGGGAATAAATATCCTGCAGATAATGTGAAAGCACTTTGGAAAGCAAAATTCACTGAATGATACAAAAAGATATTATTAAATTTGGGTTTTCTAACTCCGTTTTACAGAGGGGGCACAAACATCAAACAACTAATTCTAAGCCAGATGTGGACCAAAGTGAAAAGCCAGGCCAGATCTCCCAATGCCTGGCTCTTGTCTTCCTGACAGGTGATCTCAGTGAAGATGTGATTCCCTCGGGATCTGTCTGTTGGGTGGAAGGTGCCCCATGCCTCCACCTCCCCTCCCCCCCCCACACACACATCACACTCCCTCCCTCCAAACCACAGGACACAGCATGGTGCTGTGTTCAAAGGCTGGCCATGATCAGTCACTAGCTCCTACCAGCATCTGCTCCAGGCAGGCCTGCAAGTGCTTTCAAACACACACTCTCTCAAATAATCCTCACATCCTTCAGCCACACAGCATTATGATCCTCACTTTCAGACTGCGAACCTGAGGTACAGCAAGATTATGCCACAGAGGTACTAAGGGGAAGCGGGTTTGGAATGCAAAGCTTTTTGTTTCAAAGCCATGACTCTTCCAAAGCACTCGGTGGTCACTTAACCCCGGCCCCCTTATTCTATAGTGAGAATGATCCAGACTAGCAGGCTTCGGTGACTTGCCAAGACTGTCAGTGAGCACAGGATTTTATTCACCAAGTCGTTCTGTGCTCACATACGGGCCATAAGGGCTTGATATTTACCCTGCACTCTGAGAAAATGTTCCCTCAACATCATACATCTAGATATGTCCCACTTGAAATAAACTGCATGTATAAAAATCCATATTTACATATATTACAAATTAGGAGTTAATTATTTACTTCATATGTTGACTAAAGAGTCACCATAGAATTATCTTAATTGGCAAGTCCCTCTACTTTTTTTTATTACAATTTAATTTATACATGTTTCAGGTATGTACACATTTCATAAAGCAAAGTACACACAGTGCAAAATGTCGCACCAGCTTCCAGCCAGTGTAGTTTAAGGACTATCTTTAGAAGGCCGAGATCATCTACTCTGCCAGTTAAACTAGGATCTACCAACTTTCTCTTTGCAGCCTAGTCACCGATTTCTCCCTTCTAAGGTTCAATCCAGAGAAAAAGGGATTAGAATATAATGGGAGTCATTTTGGTTAAATAAAAATAAACTTTCTGATGGTAAACTCTCTAGACCTGTATTCCACAGCTAATCCATCTAGGGAGACCTTCCAGCGGGACATAGCCGGCGGCCTGGGGAAACAGAAGGTGCTGCTGCTTGGAGTGAGTCTATGGCCCAAGTGCTGCATTTGCTCAAACTCAGAAAGGCTGAAATGAAGATGGACATGGAGGGCAGGCCTCCCCCAACCCTTCCAGCTCCGCGGCTCCGCCACCCCGCCACCCCACAGCCGGCCGGCTCCTCGCCTCCTCCTCCGTACTCACTGAAGGCCCCCACTGGCAGGTCTGGCCTCTGGCTCCTCCATCCCCTCCATCCTTGGACCAGCGAGCCCTCCTCTGGTCCCCTCTCCTTCCCAGGCCCCGGGGCCAGGCTCCGCTCCCGGCTCCGCAGTCAGCCCTGGGCCCGGGCGGGGTCCAGCTGCGGCCTCCCTCCGGGTCGGAGGAGGGAAGCAGGTCAGGCAGGGATGGCTGTGGCATCGGCTGCTAGTTCGTAGCTGTGCCACGAAGGGGAAAGAAGCCCAGCCTGGCGCCTTCCAGGGCCGGGGCAGGGAGAGCAGAGCGGAGCGGAGCGGAGCAGAGCGGAGCGCAGCCTGGAGGGGAGCGGAAGGGGCTGGAGCAGCGGGGCCTGCCCCGCCCGGCCTCGCCCCCTCGGCACCGGCTGCAGCAGCCCGAGCCCCAGAGAGCGAGCGAGCCAGCGTCTCGCAGACGTCAGAGGGGCGGGAGGGCAGGCGAGGCCCCGCTGAGTTCAGGAACCCGCCTGAGCCCCGTGGGACGCAGGGACGCGGGGTGCTTAGCCCTACTGACCCCTCGTGGCGAGGGGCAGACCCCGGGGCAGCTGTGGGCAGCGCAGCTGTGGGATGAGGCTCAACGGGAGCAAAAGCTAAGAAAACAATACGTTCTTCCCAAGCTTCTTCGTGGGAATGCGTGTAACTCTACACCCCAGGCTGCCAGTGAGGCTCCGCTATCCGGGTGAAGCTAAGGAATGCCCTTGGTTTAGACAGCTTTTCCAGGGGAGTTCGGAGCCCTCTGCCACAGGACGTCCCCGTCAGCCTGGGGCACCATTTTCTTCGAGGTCAAGGTCATTAATTTCTGTTTTGCAGAGGCGTGAGGGTCACCGGAGTAGAGGTGGGTTCCCTCATCCTGTCTTGCCAAAGGGAGAGCCTGGTGCCTGCGTTGCCAGCTCCCTGGGGTAGGCGCCTGGGGGTGAGGGTGGGGGGGACCCCTGAAGACACCGCATCACTTTTTCCAGACCTAGAAGTAGCAGTTAAAGAGCTTCACCTGCATCTGTGGCCCAAGCCAACCGGAGCTTTCTTTCTCACCACCCAGAGGGAGGTGCCGGAGCCTTGCCTATTTCCAAACCTGTTTTCTCACAAAGGATGGGAAACAAGAGAGTTAGGACCGGGGAAAGTCCGGAAATCTCTACAGAGGGGAAAGTGCTCATTCATCTTTCCTGCAGCTAGCAAGCTTCTCTCTTCTGTTTGCATATGTGCGCTATGGTCACCATCTAGATGACAGGCATAGCAACAGTAAGGACCACACCATGAGGGTGCAGTGGCCAATAGAGGTCCTTTCCAGAGGCCTCTATTGTGAGGAATTCCCCTGCGGAAGGAGGGGCATGTGGGCAGGGCCAAAACACCCAGTCCTGAGAGCAGCTCTCTGGGAAGCTGTGGTAGAATAGCCTTGAGCTAATTTAGGAACCAGGGCAGCCCCTCTGTGATACAGAACAGGCCCAAGGTCCCACAGCTCTCGTGACAGGTGGTTTCCAGAGCCTGGGCCCAGTGCTCTTGCAGCTAGCTCCCTTCCCCCTGCATAGTACTAGAGCAAGTGGTTTCTCCAACAGGGCACACTGATCTTTGGTACTGACCACCTCATGATAGGGTACCATTTAGGACAGCATACTGTGCACCTGCATCGGGCTAAGCACACTGCATTCCTTATCTCATAGGGCAACCTTAAAAGATGGGTACTGGGTATTATCTCCTTTCTGCAGATGGGGAAAGTGAGTTACTAGCTCTGTGACCTTAGGTGATTTGTCCAAGGTCACAGAGCTAGTAAGTGGCAGGCCTTCTGGAGTACGAGGCCCTCACATCACACTGTATGTGCTGCCAGTATTCTGCACATTCAGCATGGAACGCTTTAGTTTAAAAAAAAAATCAAAAAATTTTCGGAAGTGCTATAATAGTCAAAATATGCAGCCCAGCCATAATGGACTTTTCTTTCTGTGGCCTTTCTGCCTTCCTTATTCATGCTATTCAAGGTAAAATCATCTCTTGGGACTTGCTCAGGGCCACACAGCAAGTAGAGAAGAATCTGAACTAATCCGGTTCAGCTCCAAGATCTTTTTCCTTGCTTCCCTTTGTCAGAGGCATCTCAGGACTCAAATTCTTGGAGGTAACTTCTCCATGACTCCTGTCCCCAACCCTCCCCCAGAAGTTAATGATCTCTAAGGCAAGTTTCTGAAAGTTCCAGCAGAGGCTTAATGTTTAAAAGAAACCTGCCCCCCCCCCCAACCTTCTGAGATGCAAATAAATACCTTCAGTTAACTTATTAAATTTATTTTACTCTTAATATAGAGGGAAAAGAGAGTCACATCTATACAGAGGCTTTAAAATATCACATATTTAAAAGCACTAATAAGCAAGTCCTCTGAATGTGATCAAATTACCGAGACATGTGAATCTGAGGTACTTCTCATTCATTTGGTTTGGTTCAGTAAATATCTGTTGAGCTCCTATTATGTGCCAGGCACTGGGAAGACAAAATATAATACCATAAAGCCTGACCTTGAGACATTTCTGGTCAAGTGGGGCATGGAAGGGGCAGGTAATAAGCTTTCTGTATAAGAGCTCCCATTGAGGGTGGCGCAGGGTAGCGGAGTTGGTGGGTTCACAGGAACACACTGAGGTGTGTGCTGGGTGGGAGGGGATGTCACAGAGAGCTAGGTCTTATAGAATCAGCAGGAATTAGCCAGACAGAGGGTGGGTGGAAGACATTTCAGGTGGAGAGATTAGCATAAACACAAGCAATGAGGTGTGAAACTGCCTGGCTTCACTATTACTACCTGTAAAAGTGAAACTGGGAAAGGACAGGGAGAGCTGAAGCTGCAGCATAGGGTGGCTTAGGGCCTCTGAGGCTAGGAGAGGAATTTACACTCTGTCCTGTGAAGTGGAAATCTCTTAAAGGTGGTCTACACTGGGCCTACCCCCTTTAGCATAGCTTGTTTCTGGGCTGGGGAACTACCTTATATCCTTATGTATCAGACTCATTTCATTACCAGCTTTTGGAGAGAAATCTAGGAAGAACACAAATACATGGTAAGTAGCAATCACATAGCCCTTTTCCTCCATTTGAACAACTAGGGAAGCCCACCTTCCACTCAGCCTGGATAGAAACTCAAGCCTCACTCTTCCTCATGCTCTCAACACTCAGAGGCATGTGGAATGAAGAGGTATGTGGAATGTGGAAACTGGGTTCCACTTAAGATGAAGATATAGGTGAGAAACAGTCCTTCCAGGTCACACTGTTAGAGTCAGGTGTGTGTGGGGCAAGTCGAATGGGAGAGACACTTCTGCCATTCCCCTGCTGTACTGCCTGATGAAGCTTGTCCAACGGGAAACCTGAATTTTCTGGTTGCTCCTTTCTTGGCCATGGGAAAACAATCATATGATCTACAAAGTATAATGACTTTATGTACCTTTAAAATAACTATCATAATTACACTCATTTTAAATAATTATACATTATAGAACTTATAGACCATTGTTAAATGAATATGGTCATGCAAAGCATTCTTATTCAGTCCCTAATTATGGTAGGACCACCCTGAGGTTTCATCAGCCTCTACTTCTGTGTGCATTGTTGAATTTTGTTAGCTACATTTTAGCTTCCATTGAAATCATTGTAATTTTTAAAAAAATATGTTTTTATTGATTTTTTAGAGACAAAAGGGGAGGGATGGAGAAATAGAAACATAGATGGAAAATATCAACCTGCTGCCTCCCGCATGCTCCCTACGGGGGACAGCGCCCACAACCAGGGCTTGTGCCCTGATAGGGAATCGAATCGTGATTTCCTGTTCATGGGTCAATGCTCAACCACTGAGCCACACTGGGTGGGTGAAGTCATTTTTAATCGAACAATTGGTATGAGGACTATACTAATGTATTTTTCCATAGTTCATATGTCTTAAGCAAATCATTAATATAGTACCAAGCACTTTCTGTTTTTTCTTGAGATCAAAAATTGTCACAAACATGACTTTAGGGTACAGTCACCCTTCAATATAGTTCTCATTTTGTGGATGAGGAAGTTGACTTGGCCAAGATACAATGATTAGAGATAGGTCAAAGTCAGGTGTCCTGTTGATAGCCTCCCACATGGCAGGCATGGAGGAGGGACAGTACTAAAATATTTCCCCAATCTCAATCATTATGATTAGGATTATGAACTGAAAAGCTGCAGTTTGAGACCAAATGTTTAGGAAAAGTCAGGGTGGATACAGGGTGAGTAGGCATCATCAAAGGCAGTTAAGTCTGGAGGCCATATCTCCAAGGAAGGTCCCTGTCCCATCCTAGTGGGCTCTCTGCCTGCCTGCCAGCCTTGGAGAGCAGTGCAGGCTGACCCTGACCAGGTAAGAACCCCATTTCTGTCCTACCAAAATTAGGGACTGAATAAGAATGCTTTGCATAACCACATTCATTTAACAATGGTCTGTAAGTTTTATAAATGTATAATTATTTAAAATGAGTATAATTATGATATATAGTTATTTTAAAGGTACATAAAGTCATTATACTTTGTAGATCATATGATTGTTTGCTATGAAAACCCCAAACATTTAATTTGGGTGAGTTCTGGGTATAAGCTTGATCAAGTGAGAGACTGGTAAGGAGGACAATGGAAATGCATTTTACTTGTTAAAGAAACTCTCTAAGGAGGTTTTCACTCAGGATGGAAGTGCTGGGATCCTGGGTTGTGAACATGCCTTCCCATAGCTCTCCCCTCCTACATCTGCAGGGACAGAGGTTAAACACTGCCATCTGCCTCATACTGTCCTTCTTTCTGTGAAAGGCAGACACCAGTATGTGCGTTAGAGCAGCAGCTCCTATTCTTTAATGCCCCCAACAGCCATGCAAGTCAGATTTTGCAGAGGAAGAAGCTAAGTAAGACTCAAGAAGGCCTAGGAAACTGCCCACAGTTACAAGGCTGGTGAGTGACCCAGCCACCAGCCCTGCTCCAGGCCTAGCAACCACATTTCTGGCTGAGTTATAGCAGGGAGACGGCGGCTCTCAGGTGGGTGCCCTCTAGGAATGCTTCCCTCTCAAGTCAGAGCCTCTCCAACCCCACTGATGCCCAAAGGGAAACAAGGCTTGCACCTGGGAGGGTGAGGTAGGGTGGATGTGAGTGCCACCTCAGGCATGGAGGACAGCTGCGCTCGCTCGCTCTCTCTCTCTCTCTCTCTCTCTCTCTCTCTCTCTCTCTCTCTCTCTCTTTCTCTCTCTCTCTCTCTCTCATACACACACATACTTTTGGTGGCAGGCAGGCAGGGAGGGAGGAAGGCTAACCATGTGAGTGGAGGTCTAACCTGGCCAAGTGGAATGGATCAGTGTTGGATGGGGGAAGGTCTCCCCAGAGCCTCAGAAGCTGCTTTGGGCAGAGGGGAAAGACAGTACATCTTGGCCAACTGCAAGGTAGTGCTATTGCCTTGGAAAGCCCAAGCTCTTCATTTTCTATCTTTTTTGTGTCCTTTCTCTGGACTGACTCTGGAAAGGGAGTCCAGTGTCAGTTTATCTTGCTGTCAGCAGCCTTTGAACACTGCCTCAAGCAAGTGGGGAAGTCAGCATGGAGCCCTGCAGACTCCTTGCTTCTGGCTGGGGATGAGCTTGACAAGCTCTGAAGAGCAGTTGCATCCTCTTTCCCCCTAGAGACATCGTTCCAGGCCACAGTGGGGACAGATACCTGAGAGCTCTC